AAATTGTTTCTCTCCTTGAGACTAACAGGAGTGGACTCATTTTTTCTAAAGGAGCACTTACTCATGTAAAGCAGTAATTCTGTGGAAATTACATAAGGAAACAGTTTTGACCTGCTGAGAATTTGATTTGATGTTTTCGTTCTGATAACATATTTCCACATGTACAACACATCAATAGTGTGCTGCTAAACATCTTTAAATCTAATGGTTTTCCTGCTGTTCTCATACTTAAAAAAACATCAGAACATTTTCAGAGGTGAGGACTTTTCTCTGTGTGCGGTTTAATTTGAGTGTAGCCTTTAAAAAGGTTGGGTGTCTTTATTGTCTAACTGTTCGTTTTCCTGCTCCATTGTGGTCGCCCTGCAGGAGCTGATGAGGATGTGAAAACGGCTAAAATTAGAACAATAAGTGCATCACCCCAGCCTGAAGCCAACAGAACTCCACTTCAGCCAGGTTCCACCACGTCCCTCTTGTGGCTGGAGCTAAACGGATTAGGTGTGCATGATAGTATGTTTGATAGCAGAAAGTCTGTGTCAATCACACATGGATGAGGCAACACGAGCATAATTGCACTGATAGGAAACTCAGACATTATGAAGCCAAATAAAATATTTATGTTGGCATCTTGATATAAGAGTGTTTTATCACCCCTAGCTGCATCTTATTTTTGTCTTTATGTTCTTTTAAAAAGTTCAGATCAGAATTTGAAAAGTATCTTATACATAGGGATGGGTGACATGACAATATTAAACAGATGAGGATTTGAATTTGCTGATGAGAAAGACTGAACACCGAGAGTTGTTTCCACCCAGACCATTTAAAGTGTGACACACGTTGAGCCTGATCTCTTTAAGAAGAAAGCGAAATGTTTTTACTTAAGAATGATTTTTAGCTTTACCCTCCATCGGATGTGGCGTGTAACGTAATGGATGCGTTTTCCCTGCAACCTCAGCAGCCAGTCCTTTCCCAACAGGTGCATTTCAGATGTGTTTCAGGTGTATCAGCAGTGAAAGCAAACTCACCAACCATGAATTATTTTGATAGTTCACATGATACCAAGCAAGGAGAAAGAGGTGCCGTCCATGGTTTATTTCCTCTTCTTTTTATCTCTGCAGCGTCACAGGTAATCACATATTCTTTTAACTGGTTAGGCAACTGGAAACCCGCACGTGTTTTCATTTTGAGAAGCTTAATGTGTCCTGGAATTGTGTTACACAAAATATAGATTTCAAGTATAAATTTAGCTTCTGTGACATCAAATAGAAACATCTCAATTGGATGTTAACAGTGGTTAATTTGTGCGTACTACGCTTTGCGAACGTTAGCTGTCATTTACGCATACAGCAGAAATCTGAGGTTAACCTGTTAGCATGACTTAACAGCAATTTGGTTAATTGCGATCTGTGTTATAATGTTAGCATGACTAGCACATGTTAGCATGGGGCAGTTAAGTATTAGTTACAGCATGTCTGTTTTTCTAATAGTGTAGTTGCATTGTTGAGTAACAATTTAGTTTAGAAATGTTTAAAAACTAACAGATAATTTAGAGAAATTTGTGATTTTGATTTCACAGTAAAAATGTGATATGATAGTTTTGACTTATCACACTTCTAGTTAAGGTTATATAAAATGATTGTTTGCAGGTAATGCATGCCTTTGTTAAGCAATATCAAAACATGAAGTTCTGAATGTTCTTACTTAAAATAAAAGTTTAAGGGCTAAATGTTGGGATTCGATTTTAGCTCAGGACTTTCAGAATTAAATAGGATAAATTTCTTTTTAAGTGTGTAAAAATAATAAAGAAACATAAATTTAGATAAAAAATCTGAATGTAAATTTAGAAAATGACAAAATCCTACAATCCAGCTTCCACAGAGCCTTATTTTCAGTTTATTTTTTAGCTCATGTAACAGAAACACAATTTCTCAAAATGTCTCTAAAGTTACTTGAGTTCAACTAAAACAAAATGAAAATTGTCTGAAAATGTAAAAAATGTTCTCCACTCAAACAGACATGGTGTGATCGTTGTACTTAGTGGTAAAAAAGAAGGTGCGTTTTCCAACAGAATAAGATACATGTCTACAACAAAGAACCAAACACAACTTTCCTTATTTTTGGTCCATTTTTGCACTCCGACTTAACTTTAACAAACTGGTTCTTAAAAAGAACCCATTCTGGTCATGCTTTGAGTTTTTAATGGCTTATTCAAAGATCTCATATCTAGAGATGTGTATTGGTGAAATTTTGGCGATACGATAAGTATCACGATACAGGGGAGACGATACAATATATCACGATTTATTGTGATACATTCAGTCAGACTTTATTAGCGATTTTTTTAGACTGAATTTATTGTAGCAATATTCAATTAACACTCCAAACTGATACTTAACATGATTAACATGAGGTGTCTGAACTATAACAGAGGGATTTACATTTCAGTTGTGGAAACAAAACCCATTGCACACTGCTGCCAACTAGTGGTCGGTGTATAATTTGCACCAAAAGAAAAGAAAAGAAACACAAATGTTTGCAGGTAAATTCTTCCAAAATTAGATACACAGCTTTTGAAAATCGATATAGTATTGCTAGAAAAAATATCTCAGTATATTGCCATATTGATATTTTCTTACATCCCTACTCATATCTGTTTTCTTCTTTAAATTATCGTTTACATAAAACTCCAGTGTGATTTCTTAGCATTTAGTCTTTTTTACAACACTGCTTTGCTCCTTCATCCACGATGAAAGAGTTTTACACTTTTGGCTGCATTATTTATCTATTCCTTTTATTTTAAAACCACTGAGACTTTAAGTTTTTTTCCGCCTTTCATTTTCCCCTTTTTAAAAATAGTCATTAGCAGCAGCACCAAGAGATAAAATCAAAACAATGTTTGGTTTTAACCACTTATAAAGACTTGGGACCAACCCAAGGCTGCATCACTGATGTAGAATTTTCACATTTTCCATGTGAAGGACCTGAATTGACACAATAACTACCAGATAGTCCTTAAAAAAATAAACAGCTGAGCTGTTGAGTAGGCCGCCTAAAAATCCTCCTGAAGATCCCGGTTGGCAGTGTAACTCACCATAAACACACAACAGCAGCTGATTTCTTTCCTGATAAAATTGGTTTCTTAATGGCTTCTGATCTTTTCAACAAAGCTAGTTTCACTTTATTTGAACACGCACCCAAGGTCCTTGCTTTACTGATTTACACCCCTGCACAGTGGCCATCAAGTAGATGCAAATCAACAAAAATCAGTCAGAAAAACACAATGTAAATAAGCTGAAAGGCCCTCCTCTTCTTCTTCTGTGGCTTTAACGGCAGCTTGTACAGTTGCATTATCGCCACCATCTCTTATCCCCCACCGAAACCCTCAGAAGAGAAAAACACTACATTTTCTCCAACAATAAGGTATCGAACAGAAATTTAAATACGCTCTTCAACCCTGTGTCTGGACCCAACTGACTGGGTCCCAAAAAGAGCAGCATTCAAGTAACAAGGCCCTCCTACCTCATTCCCTGCTCCTGTAAGCTGGTTCCTGCTGGGGTTTATTCCCCTCAGGTGAACCCAGTTAGGCCTGATTAGAGCGAACCAATGAAACTGGAGGCAGCATTTCTCAGCTTCCTTCGCTCTCTGAAACAGTTCTGAAGTTCTAAATGAACATTTTCTCTTCAGTTTTAGTGATAGAAGCAGCTTTATGAAGTATGTTTTGCATTAATTAATCGATTTATAGACTCCATGGTGAAGCAGCTAGTAAAACTGTTGATTTGCATGGAAAAGGTTGCAGGTTCAAATCCTAGCTTTGCCCTCTCTGTGCAGTTTGCATATTCCCCATTTCTTCCAGGTATTCTAGCCTCCTTCCACAAACCAAAAGCATGCATGTTCTCTTAAAATTTCATTCATAAATATTCACAAAAGCCCAAATTAACTGCATTTTTATTCGTGCAGATGCCAAATGCAAAGAAACACACAGACGGAGCTGAACTAAGACAAAAAAGACAATAAATAAATAACTGCTCAAGCAGTTTGTTACTCAGCTCACCTTTCAAAGAGAAATATTTCAAACAGTCGGGGTCTTCAGAGACATTTAAAAATAAACAACTCGGAGACTGAACCAATAAAAGGCATTTTACCAAGTCAAAAGATCGAAGCAGTTCAGAGGAAAAAAATAAATGACAGAGTCCACAGAGTTCTGTAAACCGTGTTTATGTTGTTCAAACATAAATAGATCTTTGATCTAATAGAAAATTGAATTTCCTAAAAGCTAGAAAGCAATAAGACGATGCTGTCTTTCAGAAAAAAAACTGTGCACACGACATTTCTGTAGGAAAACGGAGGCTTTGGAAAATATTTGGATAAGATTAGAAGTATGCCAACAGTTTTTATAATTTTAATTAGAGCAAAAATCAATCATTTGTCTTTCATTTTTAGTGAAAAAATATAAAAGGAGGCTTGTTGTTTTTGTATTTTGTGCTTCTTGATCTCATCTCTGCAGACTCTCCTCTTTAAAAGTTTGTTCAAGAAGTCATCAAAGCCAAAAGAGTTTGTAATTTCATCTCACGATGGCAGCAAAAGGAAGATCTCTTTAAATATATTCATGTCTGAGGAAAATAAAAAACTGATGAATGAAGACAACAGCAGCCCAGTTATTTTACTGATTAATACAGTTTTTCACTGTTTTAAACAAATTAGCAAAAAAGTGGAGTTGGCAGTTTCTTTCTTTTAGTGTCTGCGGTTTGTCTGAAGACCCCTGCTGTTAGTTTCATGTCCTTGAGCGGGGTCCGGACCCCACCTTTGAAAACGCCTGATTTAGGTGACTGAGAGGTTTTGTAGCTGATCTAAAGCGTGAAATCGTTTCAGTAAAGAAAATCCATTTTTCACTAACTTTTGACTGATTTTCTCTACATTAAAGGAAAAATCACAATCCATCAACACAAATCTGTTGCATTTTAATCATGCCTACGATCATCATTACGTTTGCAAGTTAAACTCACCCAACCCAAAGCCCATATATTTAGTTCCTTTTGTCAGGACAGCATCAGAGTTTCTGCTCCTGCAGACAACACTTTTATTCTTCTGTCTCCACTTCTATCCTCTACTGTCCCAGATAGAGGATTCAAGCAGGCGTGGATGAGCTGATCATGTGTAGCGCGCAACAAAAAAAGGCTCCTGACATCCGGACGAGGCAGATAGAGAAGAAAAAAGAAAGGAGGGAGGAAGAGAAGGAGATAACGGACCAGAAATAGTCAAGATACTTAAAAGGAAGAGAATGTGAAAAGCTAAGATGGAACGATACAAAGGAGGTATGAAAGGAAGCCAAAGAGAGATAGAGAAGTCATTTAAGGTCCATCCTGGAGATTGGAGGATGCTGGTGCAGCAGTGTGCATGTTCATGCATGTGTGTATGTGTGTGTGTGTTTGAGACTTCACGTTCACAGCCAGGATAAGCCTCCTCTCTGAGAGGAGGTAAGCAGGGTCAGCGTAGACCAGCTCACATGACCAGAGACGCTCCCAGTAATCCACTAATCCACTGCTCTCCCACTCATGCTCCCAGCTAAACAAAGACCGTCTCCTTCGTTAATTAACTGTAATTTTTAAGTTTCTTATCCCCCCCCCCACCCCCCCCCCACCCCCGTCTCTACTCACAAGTCCCAATCACCCTAATCTAGTTTACTTCATGACTGGCTCTGTTGTTCTGTGCTGACCTGTAGTAGGAGGGAGGTTTGTGACTCTTACCAGGAAAAATCTACTCATTTGAATAAAATTCTTCATAAACAGACGTATTAATTTGTGTATTAATTTGTGAAAATAGTCTTTTTTATTAAAAAAACACATTAATCAAATGTTTGTTTAGTTAATCTTATTGTCCGTAAGAGGATTTTTGGCCTAAAGACGGACTGCAACATCAGTAAGAAAAAAAAGTGCTTTTTGAAAATTGTGAACTACAGCTGGCCCACCATCAACATCGTACCTCTGTCATTTATTCGTTCTGACGGAGCCAGCCTGAGCTATAATAAAGTCTCGTGTCAAAGCTTCCCTAGGCTGCACCAACAGAGGCAAGGCCTGCAGAACACAGGCGCCACCGGTCCGTCTGACCACCAGTGCAGTTGGGTTAAGTGTCTTGCCCATGGAAACAGCAGCAGCATTCTCTGGTAAGAGCCGAGATTGAACCTGCAACTTTTGGGTTACTGGACAACCCGCTCTACCTCCTGAGCTACTGCTAATGGTTAGCTTCAACTAGCCGAGACGCGCTCTGCTCTCTCCTGGCTGCAAAAATCAACATGGCCGGGGAGTCTGACTGAGCATGCGCTGACGGCCGATCACCGGATACACGGCAGCGTTTGAAGCTGATGGCAGCTTGTTAACAAACATCCACAAAAAATTAAGACACATTTTCGCCTAATTTATTTACTGACAACGCAAAAAATAATCTGGTAAGTATAACTCACTCAAGCTGGAGGTAAGTGAAGAAAATTCAGAAAGTTTGTTAAATTATATTGACGAAGTTTTTGAGTTATTCGTCATGGGTCCGAAGAAATCAGCAGCTGAGGCTGAATCACCTGCTGGGACCAAGAGGAGCCGTCCTCAGGACTCGCCTGAGGCCTCATCTCCCCGGAAGGACATATTAGAATTATTAGATTCTATTGATAAACGGCTTCTGGGATTTGAGGGGCGACTTCATCTGCTCGAGGTTCAGAGCCTCCGAACATCTCTGGCGTTCAGCCAGGAGCAGGTTGAGCGGCTCACTGCTGAGAACTCGTCTCTGCGGGAGTCCGTTTCTTCCCTGGAAGAGGGAATGACGCGGATCGCCCAGGACAACAAGATTCTGAAGGAGATGGTTTTGGACCTTCAGGCCTGCAGCATGAGGGATAATCTGGTGTTCGCAGGCCTGCCGGAGCAGGCGGGAGGGGCGGAGAACTGCGAGCAAACAATAAAGAACTTTCTCCAGACAGAAATGAAGATACCCGAAGAAAAGGTAAAAAACATCACCTTTCACCGGGTACATCGCCTTGGAGCTAAAAGAGGGGACAGCAGAAGACCTCGTCCCATCGTGGCTAAATTTGAACATTTTAAGCAGAAAGATCTTGTTAAAAGTCACGGAAGAGAGCTCAAAGGGAAAGATTTCAGCGTCAATGATCAGTTCCCGAAGGAAATTCTGGATCGGCGCCGGGTCCTCTTTCCGCTGCGAAAAAAGTTTATCCAGGATGGGAAGAGAGCTGTCATCTCGGTGGATAAGCTTTATGTGGACAATAAGCTTTACAAGGAGCGAGGAGTGACTGACTGGCTGTATTAGCCCAACATCAGGTCAGACATTTATTATTCTTATCAGGATTCACTGGGTTTGATCACGTCAGGATTAAAACAGCAGCTAAATCCGTATTGTTGATGATAAGATCACCTGTTCTTCACCACCTCACACCCCTACCACCTTTTGTTTTTAGTTCTTTCTTCTTTTTTAACCTGTATCTGTATTTTCCCTTCCTTTTTACCTGCTTCTGCACCTTTACACCTGTACGGCACAACCATACAACTTTCCAACACTGCATCAGACCCGACACACACACACACGCACACACACACACACACACACGCACGCACGCACGCACACACACACACACACACACACACATAGATATATTAAATTCACAGCACAATAAATATCGTAATTTATGCGTCAAATAATACAACCACAAACACTGTTGGATCTTTATTATTATTATTATTATTATTATTATTTACTTTTCTGTTATCAGTTTCACAGTACTGGACACAGTATTTGATCCAGAGGGTAGATTTATAATGTTAAAAATATCTGTACAGAACCAAAGCTTATGTATTGTCAGCATATACTGTCCAAATATTGATGACCCTCCATTCTTTCATAATTTTTTCTCTGTACTCTCCGAACACTTGGACTGTCCACTTATACTTGGAGGTGATTTTAATTTTTGGATGAATTCCTTAACAGACAGGCTCAGTACAGCTGGGACTCAGCGCAATTGGCAATCCACTAATATAGTTAAACAGTACATGAGTGATTATGGGCTTTGTGATGCATGGCGATCTCTTCATCCTAACCGTAGAGAGTGTACTTTTTTTCGCACGTCCATCACTCTCACTCACGTTTGGATTATTTTCTAGTCAGCAGCTCATTGTTGGCTGACATTTCAGACACTGAGATACACCCCATAGTTGTCAGCGACCATGCTCCGGTTTCTTTAACTCTGGTAAATAAGAAGACAATCCCACCAAGCAGAAACTGGAGGTTTAATACATCACTGCTTAAAGACGAAGGTTTTATAGAATTTTTTAAAAAGGAGTGGGCTTTATATTTAGAACATAATGACCTGCCTGGAACATCAGCATCTATTCTCTGGGAGGCAGGAAAGACAGTGATGAGAGGTAAAATAATCTCCTTCTCATCACATAGGAAAAAAACAGAAAACAAACGTATTCAGGAGTTAGAGGAAATCATCAAGTCTTTAGAGGCATCCACAGAAGAAGAGTCAATGAGCAAATTACGCAAAGCTAAACTAGAACTTCATGGAATTATTGACAAAAAGACACAATTTTTAGCACAAAGACTACGAATAGAAAACTTCAAACATAGTAATAAATGAGGTAAATTCTTAGCTAGCCAATTAAAAATAAATAAAGAGAAAACTACCATATCTGCTGTTAAAGACTCAACCGGGAATATAGTTAATGACCCTGAAAGAATAAACAACACCTTCAGAGACTTTTACCAAACGTTGTACTCACCACAGATAAACCCATCAGATAATGAGATCAATGAGTTCCTTGACAGGATAACACTTCCTAAATTATCAGACAGCCAAGTTACAGTCCTGGACTCGCCACTAACATCAGCGGAGCTCCAGGAAGCCCTTAAATCCATGAGTAATAGGAAAGCTCCAGGCCCAGACGGGTTCCCAGTAGAATTCTACAAAGAATTCTTGATCATTCTGGCCCCAACATTTTTCAGAATGGTGAGGGAAATCGAAGAGAGCGGCAGATTACAGCCAAACATGAATTCAGCCAATATTAGTCTCTTGTTAAAACCAGGCAAAGACCCAGCATTTCCAACCAGCTATCGCCCAATTTCTCTTATTAATGTTGATCTCAAAATAATTTGTAAAGCCCTGGCCAAAAGATTAGAGAAGGTAACCCCTTCATAATACACCCTGACCAAACTGGTTTCATTAAGGGTAGACAGTCATCCACAAACTCGCGTAGATTACTTAATTTGATAGATTTCTCTTACAGTAGAAACATAGAAACTAGTATATTTTCTCTAGATGCAGAAAAGGCTTTTGATAGAGTTAACTGGAAGTTCTTATTTGCAACTTTACATAAATTTGGTTTTGGGAACTTCTTCATAAACTGGCTACAAACATTATACAGTTCACCAACAGCACGTGTCAGGACGAATGACCAAATATCAGCTAGCTTCTGTCTTCAGAGGGGGACCAGGCAGGGATGCCCACTCTCCCCCTCAATATTTGCTATCTTTATTGAACCACTAGCAGCAGCAATTAGGCAAACAACAGATATTAAAGGGATAAAGTGTAAGAAAATAGAACATAAGATCAGTCTTTATGCAGATGATGTTTTACTCTTTCTCCAGAATTCTCAATCCTCTCTCTCCCAAGCAATAGAACTGATAAACTCTTTCCAGAGTTTCAGATTACTCTATAAACTGGTTAAAATCCACAGTTCTACCAATTCATTTCTCATTTGTCAATTTGCTTAATACACAATTGGAGTCAGGGAATATCACATACCTGGGAATTAATATCTCTCCCAAGTTAGCAGATCTAACCAAACTAAACTACATCCCACTTTTAAGGAAAGTGGAAGATGATCTTGCAAGATGGAAATCCTTACCAATATCACTCATCGGGAGAGTGGCTACAATTAAAATGATGGTCTTACCCAGAATAAATTACTTATTCTCGATGATCCCAAACAAACCACCAGCTGACTGGTTTAAATCTCTGGACTCCTCAATTACTAAATTCCTTTGGCAGGATAAACCTCAACGAATTAGCTTAAAAACGCTTCAGAAGACCAAAAACAGAGGAGGACTGGATTTACCCAACTTTTATTATTATTTCTTAGCCAACAGGCTACAATATATACCAAGATGGTTGCAAGATAACCCACTAGATGAGTCCTGGTTAGATATAGAACAGACACTTTGCAATACGATAGAGCTTTCAGACTTACCATTTATTAGCTCAAGCATAAGAAAACATGAAAGCTTCAAAAGTATTAGTATCAGCACCTCTCTGACAGCATGGTGGGAGTATCTTAAAATGACAGAGTCTTCACTAGTACCATGCAGACGCACACTTATCTGGAATAATCCTGACATTTTGCAAAACAACAAAAATGATGAACCTTCCGGACTGGAAAAATAAAGGAATCCTATA